CACATCCGGGTGAAGACGCCCTCAGGGATAAACCTGCCAAGAGCCTTAACTGGAGTCCTTGACCTCTTAGGGGGATCTACAGAGGCTTGCCGTGGGGACCCTTGAAGTTGTACGTAAAATTTCCTACATGCACACGTACATCTTTCTGGGGAAAGGAGTCATAGCTCTCACCACATTCTCAAAGGGACGTTCCAGCCCAAAACACCGAGTTTCTTTACATTTCAAATTAGAAATTAAACTATCAGTGGCAGAGCAAGACCATAAGGAAAGAGAACACTGTGCCCAATGCTCTCTGTTACGGAGTACTGATTTATAAGTATTATCCTGAGAGTAAAGAGGCTTTTTACTCAAAAGCATTCCAAAACAAAGTGTGGGTGTGGGGAGACAGGGTGCTATTGCTATTGTCTGATACCCACAATTTCCCTCCTGCTGACTTATTCTGGATTCTTTTTTCCTAACCTGTTGAGATATACCCCCTCCCCCTTTGCCCCTCCAGGCTCTGTCTCAGTCACCCATGGCCTGGCTTTCAGGTCAGTGTGCCAGACTAACCGGTCCAGTCAGTATTCCCCCTGTGGTATGCCAGCCTGGGCCTACCATCTCTGACTTTTTGCTTTCCTATAAGGAGAGTTGGAACACATAATTTATAGCCATTGTATAATTCAATTTTTCATTTTTTTAAAATGTAGCAAGATTGCACAAAGTCAATATTATATAGTTTTAATATTTATTATTTTAATGGCTATTTGAGAATCTATTGAACTCTATAATAATTTTGTTACAGTTTGTGTGTATGAATAACAATGCTATGACCATTTGTGACTACGCATAGTTTCTCCATTTTTAAATCATCTGGTGAATAAATTCACATGATTGCTATTGCTACTAATGGGCATAAACATCTTTATGGTATAGCACCATGTATATACATATATATATATGTACAGTACCACACACCTTTATATACAGTGCTACCATGTATAGTACTCTGTGTGTGTGTGTGACTATATATATATACAAATTGCTTTTCATAGATCTGGCAACAATTTATAGTTTTATACGTCTACACTAAATTGCCTCATTTAACTTGTGTTGGTTAAATTCACGGTATGTAATTATCATTCTGAATTTGCATTTTGTACTGTTTGCATTTCCAATGATGTGAAATACCTGGTTAAGGCCTTCCTCACTGGAGACAAAGAAGGCCCTTCTCTAAGGCCCCTCTTGTGTGTACTAGTCACCCAACTCCACTGAGTAGTTACTACACAGTGTGCTTCGTCGGCTGTCGAGTATTGTGGACAAAGAAATGAGCCAGGAATGGATCCTTTCCTCAAGTCCTCAATTCGACTGTGAAACTCTCAGGGACTGAGATGATCAGTCTCTGTAACGCTGGTAAGAAACACTGCCTGATATGAGGTGAGAGCCCAATGAAGGAAAATAAATTGGAGAGGCGGCGAGGTGAAACTAAGGAATATACTTGACACCCTCCCCTGTAACTTCTTTACTTTTACAATGGAAATCATTCCCCTCTTTGTGAAAGGTATTTACTGAGCATGCACTGTCTTAGGTGCTGGCTCTACAGTTCTCCTGGAACTTACATTCTACAGAGACAGACTTACAATAAATGAAAAAACAAGGAAGCAAATTAGGTAATTTCAGACAGTAGTAAATACTGTAAGGAAGATAATAGGTCAATATGATAGAAAGTGATGTGTGTTGTTTCAAAATATCAGATAAAGAAATGAGGGAAGAAAGAACGCCAAGGGCTGGGTGCTGGGACACACCAACAGAGAGCAAGAAAGAGGAAGCAACAAAGGATTACCATCACCGAAGTCTGAGACAAAACTTTCAACTATTTTATAGGACTAGCGGAGATTACGTGCATGAAAGTATGACTGGACTTCCTTAACATGTTTCCTTAAGTAGCTGATTGTAGAGGAAATTCAAGATGGTAAAGGACAGCGTAACACAAAGGAACAGTGGTCTCTCTTACACAAGAGGTACGGATAAAGCGCTAGGAGCTAGGAGAGCTCAAACAGATCAGGGCAAATCTTCATTCTTCAGACCCAGCTGAAGCAACCCCTTTCTGGAGATTTTCAGGCCTACATGAGCGGAGCTGATCACTTCTTCCTCTTATCACTATGGTAATTTACACCGCCTACCGCACTGTGTTCCTTTTCATATGTTTACAAGCCTATCTCCTCTACTAGACAGGGAATCCCTTCCACAGAGAAATCGTCTTTAAAAACCTTCTCTCCCACAGTGTCAAGCATATCCTCCATAACTTCTGAATAAATGAAGGAGGTGAGGAAATATTGCAACAGTGTGTTGGAATGACAATGGGGAATTAGGGGCAGAGCTGAATGAACTCAGTGCCAAGGTGGGTCTTACATCACAGCACTAAATAAATCATAGCAGTCCTGCTATACATCCCTCACATGGTGCTGCTGGCAATACAGGGCACGAAAAGACAGTGATCCAGCACCTGCTGACTGAGTTCAGGTTAAAGGCTATTTTAGTAGAGAAAACTAAGATTCATTCTCCCCCATCATTGCTAGCCTGCCCTAAACAGCCTGTAAAAGTAAGAATAAATGACACGCAACAAAATGGATGAATCTCACGGACAAGTATCAAGTTAAAGAGCAGGCAAAATGAAGCTCAGGTGACAGAACACAGGGGAGTGGTTACCTCTGGGAGAACACAGACTAGGAAGGGGCAAGGGGAGCCTCCTGCGTGCTGGCTATGCCTACATGTTCATCTGGTCTGTAGTTACATGGAGACAAAAGTGCACACATTCAAGTAAAAATTTACTGAGTTGTACTTCAGATTTGTGAACGTGACTGTACATGCATTATACTTCAAAAATAATTAAAAATAAAAGCATAAAATAAGTAAAAGCAGGACAAATGATAATGATTAATACAGGCAACATGATAATGTTAATATACTTACTTCATCTCCCTCATCAATTAATCCTTGAATGGCATTAAAAAGAGATCCATACGCTCCCACTGTCACAAGGATTTCTTTGTCTGGATCTATTCGATTTTGATAAAACTTTTCATATAGGCAGGACAGAGCTTTCACAAGCGATGGATGACCCTGTTGAGTGAAAAGAAGAAAAAAGCCTTGAATTTAATTATTGGGCCTACTTCTTTAAGGCCTTTTGGCTCTAAAATGTAAGAATTTTTAACATTTAGGCTTTATAATATCCAATTTGTATTTTTAAATGGCAATAAATTAAAACAAAATTTCCCCTACTTTCCAGGGATTCCTACATGAATGGTCATGAGGACTTGCTAGTGATTAAAAACTTCCTATGAAATGACTGATTCCAGAATACAAAATCTCAAGGTATATTTGCTTTTAATAAAAACTGACTTCAATGCCAAATATATTTGACAGTATTTTTTTTTTATTTTACATGCATTTATTTTATCCTATTCACATTGATAATTGTCATGCAACCTACAAAAAGTACAAAAGCCTAATCCATTTTTCACTAACAGGTCAGAGCCAAGTTGCAAAAAAGGAACTGCACATGTATAGGAAATTATAAGAAGAGTTCCAGTGTCCTGCACAAGTCATGCTGCCTTTCACACGATGTATTTAAAACTATAAATATTGCCACAGGAGAAATCTCTTGTCTTTGCAGTGACAATGCATCTAAAACTAAAGTAAACTAATCAGATGTCCAACAAAAAGGGGGATTTTTGCTCTTTTTTTCCAATATTCCAATATTGTAATCTAACAGTCCACATTTTAAATAAATCTGTCAGAGGTTTTTGGGGCTTTTTTGGAAAGAAAAAGAACATTCACACTTTAAGAACTTTCATGCAACTAAGCTTTACCATCAAATAACTGTTTTTGAATGGGATTTTTATTTAGTATTTCTGGCATTTTCTACTACTAACAGCTTTCCCCACTACATTAATAATATTTGCTAGATTGACTGACTACATTAACCCTTCACAGCCATCTGACATAGTCAGTGCTGGTCCTTTTAAATGACAGCATGTGTTTTCAATAGCAATCAAAACACATTTAACTCTTTCATTTTTAACAGTAATTAAATAATATTGAATAGAGTTGGATTTTTCCCCCCAGTTAAAATAAGCCGAAACTCCTGCATTAAATGTATACCCTCTGAATCTGTTCTTCCAAGTCGCCCAAGAGAAAGTCATGCCAACCAATGGACTATAGAGAGAGGGCAAAAACAAATTCACCCAAGAGACAGACAGTAGTGTTGATGTGACAGCGAACGTTAGGAGGACGTGGAATGCTGCTCACAGTGACAGCAAGAGAGCAGCAGTCACCTAGGAAGACACCTTTCACGAGGGGAAGGAAGGGCTGTAAAGGCCCAGAGTCTGAGACACGTGGGGTCGTATGAACCCTTGGTTAGCTCTTCCTCAACCTTCTTTCCATGTTGTTTGCTTCTCTCCTCTTTCTTTTCCCCTACTTTCTCATTTAGTATTGAAGTCAATCTTCCTTCCTTCTTTCCTCCCTCCCTCCCTCCCTTTCTTTTTTGTCCATCATCTACTTCTTTTTGCTTTTGGGAACCACCCTGATTTTCTGTCACTTGCGAATGAGTGTTCAAGTGCAGGTCAGGTGCCTTTGTTTGGAAAGCATCTGGGCTCTGGAGAAATAAACTGGGTTAGGATGCAGGAGAAGATGGAGCTGGTTGGATATACCCTAGGTTTGGGAGGTAAAGGGTCTTTGGCTCCTTCAAGTTGTCTTCCCAGTTTATATGAAGAAACGAGGACTTTTTTTGTCAAAGATGCACTTATTTGTCATATTTTTATTCTTTTTGGAATATTGGCTAGTATGTCCCAGATCCCCTCCACCCCTCCTTCCAGTTAAAATCAATAAAAATAAAACCAAAGCACATTTTTCATATTCTGAAATTAGGAGATATTATCATGTTAGAGAAACTGGTTATAATTAATAATAGAAAAGGTGATATAACACAGCCAGTAAACTAAAAAATAATAGCGAGAGAAAGACCACTTAAGTTTAAGGTAAAAAAAATGCACATGAATTGTGGAAAGAGCAAGAGAAAGTTGTCACCCCTCCCAGAAATCCAAAATTTCCCTTCGAATTTCATTTTAGTACCAGGTTTAACAAATTCTAGCAAAGGGTGATCTGAAAGCAACTGTAAACACTATATTTCTTTCCTTAGAATGATAAGGATCTATGTTTAAAAAATTTTTAATTACAAGTATAATTCACGCTTCATGTAATAAGTAAAACTAGGCAAAGACACGTAAAGAAAAATTCTCTCTCCTCAAAATCTTTTACTTCCCACCCCCCGAAGTGACCAATGTCCACAACCTAGTGATGGTGCAATACCATTCCCAGTGATTGTATCAATATAAACACACACACACACATATATACACTCATATCTATTCACAAAAATTGGAAAATAGATAAATGGGCACAGTTATGTTCTAATAAAATCTTATGTACAAAATCAGGGGTGGGCTGGATTTGGCCCATGGATCACAGCCTGCCAAACTCTCCTATGGATCAATTAAGGGAGAACTGACACCTTACCCATATTTAGTCTTCCAGTCCATGAACATCATACATTACTCCATTTATTTAGGTATTGTTTAATTTCTCTCAGCAAGTGTTGTAGTTTTCAGTGTACATACCTTGCACATCTTTAAAGAAATTAGTTCTAAATTTTATGTGTTTGGATACTAATGTAAATAGCACTTGAAAATTTTTTACTTTTTAACTGGTCTTTTTTAACAAACAGAAACACAACTGATTTTTATATATTGGCCTTGTGTCCTGCAACTCTGTGTCTGTTCACTTAATAAGTTGTGGTGGGTTTTATTTTTGCAGAATCTAGGAAATCTCTCTTGATGTTCTAGGCATTTCATCACAGAAGGATGGAGGTTGGGCTGAGGTAGAGAGGAAGAAAGTTATTAGGTGGAAATGGATATTAAGAGGCCAGTGCTGAGGCTGCATAAACGATAATGGGAGAGAAAACATGTCTCAAGAGAATATTCTCCCTCCCTTGTTGCCAGAGGAACACATCCTGGAAGTACAGTAAAGCAGGGGCCGAGGCAGGACTGTGGAGAAGCTGGAAGAAGGGCACAGCTCATCCTGGGAGACAAGGGCAAGGGTGGGGTCGCTCTGGGTATTAGGTTGGGACAGTTGGTTCCAGAAAGCCAATCACACAGAAGTGATACAGAAGTACATTCACACACCATAAAATACAAGCTCACGCCCCACAGGGTCTCAAATACTTACAAAGCCCCGTGTATACTGGTTCAGACTATCAATTGCTGCAACCTTTGACAATTCTTCCTTTACGTAATTAGGAGGGGATATATCTGGAAGGCCTTGGCCAAGATTCACAACAGAGGGGTCTGCAGCCAACTTGGTAAATTCAATCCTAAGGTTAAAAATACTAATATTAGTAGGTGCTAAAATTACAAAGTTATCCTTTTTGCCTCATAGTCTTAGAAAACTGAAAAGTAAGACCTAGTTAAGTGTTACAGATCAAAAAAAAAGAAAAAAGAAGCTCCTAACAAAAATTTTATCATCTGCAAAGGGACTTTACCCAGTAAAATGATGGCTGAACTGATGAACTGAATGTTTCTTACACATTTCAATTCCAGGATACTCATATTTTAATTGTATTTGTATTTTTTCTTAGCCATCCACTGCTATGTTCTCTTATCACCCATTAGAGAGGAGAAGTTCATGGTTTAGAAGGTAAAGTTCCAGGAGGGCACCCACCCAATCTGTCCTTTTCTCTGACCCTTTCCAGTGCCTAGCAAAGGGCGTGGCACATTTGCTAAATGAATAAATCAGTGTAAGAACCATTACTTCCTTCCATTTTCATTTAATGGATAAATTAAAATAAGTGGTATTGTTTATATGCAATAGCTAGGCTAAAAATTCCCAACTAAGGATATAAACATTTTGAAGAAAAAAAACCTCACCCCATTATTATTGTTTATTCTAAAGTACTTACCACACATTCTTATCAAGGCCTTCAATTCGTTTCGCATTTTTGAGTTTCAAAGACATTTTCTGAAAGATAAAAATATTGAAAGGGTTTTTAAATTCCTTTAATTAAAAAACAAATGGTTTCTAAACAAATGGTTTTAAAACTACTCAATAAGGAGTTCCAAGTAATACAGTAGGTAACATTACTGGGTAGTGAGTACGTACTAGGCACTGTTCTAAGTGTTTTAAAGAATTAACTCTTTTAATATTTACAGCAACCTTATGTGGTGGTTCTATCAGACTGGATAAAATCACACATCTTTACACATCTGCCCAAGATCACGAAAGCTAGTACCATTTAACTCAGATTCAACTCCGGATTTGAACCCAGGCAGTGTGACTTCAGAACACAAACTCAGTATTATTTCCACATACTGTCCCTTACATTACAAGACCTTCTAAAAAAGATTACTAGGATGCTGCCTCTTAAAAAGTATATTACATTTGGGAGTCTGAGATTTGAAAATGGTAACCACTATATATAAAACAGATAAACAGCAAGGTCCTACTTTATAGCACAGGGAACTATGTTCAGTATCTGGTAATAATCTTTAATGAAAAAGAATATGAAAATGAATATATGTCGATATGTGCATGACTGGGACATTGTTCTGTACACCAGAAATGGACAAAGTATAACTGACTACACTTAAATTTAAAAAAGTGTATTAGACATTTAGGTCAGATCTACTTACATCAAACAAGCTACAGTGGGGTAGAAAAATATTAAAGGTTAAAATTATGGCATAGCACACAATTTTTTCATTCTTTAGCTTCTAAAATTAAGTTTACATATCTCTCAAAAGCATTGAATTAGCTTTGAGTTCAGTGTTAATAAGCTGCTGTTGGAAATTAAAAAAAAATGATTGGCAGCATCTTTACAAAGATTTTCCTAATAGAATATTAAAGTAATTTTAATTCAATCTAAGAGGAAGATAATGATAATGGTTATTAAGCAGACCATTGTTCTCATTCTATTTCCAATAATGGAACCAAGAAAAATACAATTTCATCATCATATTTTTTATCTTTGAAACTCCCGTGAAGTAAATCACATGCAAATTCTCCAGAGGTTAACGTGCCTTCCAGGACAATATCATGATTAAGTATCCACCTGAACATAATGTTATTTTAGAGACTACAATTATACAACTGAAAACTCCCAGAAAGATACAGAAAGCAGTATTTTAATAATTGTCCTTTGTCTTTTCTAAAAAAATGAAACGATGATTCAGTCAGTCTGTGACTACAAAGTGGAGATTCATGTATAAAAGTGAGCACAGTCTACAGTAGATAATTTAGACACAAAGTATAATTTTACCTAAAATATTAAGGTAATTGAGGTCCAAATGCATTTTCAGATTTAACTTTCTTTTAAGTGTATGTCTAGAACAGCATCTTCTCTCACTACCCTCCCTGCCTCTTCCTTCCCACTGTATGCATCAACCGTTCTGGTATTTCAAATATTACAGAGCCTTCTCCCACAAGCTCCATATGTGATCCTTCCTCTACCCAATGGCCCTTCCATACCAGTTTCTCAGCCTTTTTTTTTTGGTTACCACACCCTCCTACCCCCATACTGGCCCATGGAGACCGTTTTAGACATTTTTTTCTAATTATCTCTTCCCCTCTCCCTCATTAAATATTAAGAAACAAGATTTTGTCAGGTAGAGTTGAGTACTGGATGATCACAAAACATTATAATAACTATGATTTATTTCACCTGCCAAGCACCAGTTTCTCCCCCTTGGGGTCAACTGCACCTCTGTTAAGAATGCATGTTCTATATTTGATCTAATCCTGGGTCTCCACCACCTTGTCTCTTCACTCAGCTAACTCCTATTCCACCTGCCACCTTCAGTTCTCAAATTAGACCTCATCCCTCCAGACAGTCTTCTCTGATTCCCCACGTCAAGGTCAGATGCTCATCCTACGTGCTCCTACGCCATGCAGCATTTCCAGTACTTACTACATAACTTTTTTTTCCTGTTTGTCTGTAATCGTCCTAGAGTATAAACATTACAAGGACTGTTTCCGGCTTGCTCACTGTTCACTGATGTATTAACCAGATTTCTCCAAAGAAACAGACCGCAGACCGATATGGGGTGGTGTGTGTGTGTGTGTGTGTGTGTGTGTGGTGGTGGTGTGTGTGTGTGTGTGTGTGTGTGTGTGTGTGTGGTGTGTGTGTGTGTGTGTGTGTGTGTATTTATTTGTAAGGAACCGGCTTCTTAAGCTGCAGTCTTATCATCCAGTACCTCAGACTGTGACCTTATTTGGAAATAAGTTCATTGCAGATGTCATTAGCTAAACTGAGGTCATTAGGGTGGGCCCTAAATCCAATGTGAATGGTGTCTATATCAAAAGGGAAGTTTGAAGACAGACTGGCATACAGGGAGAATGCCCATGAAGATGAAGACAAAACAGGTAGAAGTCGTAAAATAGAGACAAACAAAACAAAACAAAAACCACATAGTGCCTGCCCACCCACGTCCTCTTTGAAGGAAATCCCACTCAAATCACCCATTGAAGAAGTTGTGGATACTGAGTCACCGGTGTCCCAGAAGGACAAAAGGGGGGGTGGGTGGGAATGAAAAGGTGGTCATAAAAGTAACGGCTGAAAATTTCCCAAATTTGATAAAAATATGGATAAATGCAATAGACTTTCCCTCTCCTCTGAACTTTTCTATATTACATTTGACATTTGAAGCAAAAAGTATAACATTGTGTGATGTTGTTTAACATGTGGTGAAAATATTAAAGGTAATTATGTTATAAATGGGACAGTGCAAAAGGACTTGAAGGGAGGTAAGGCTTCTATACTTCATTCAAACTCATAAAATGTGGACCAGAGTAGATCTTTGTCGCTACGGAAAAGCTCTGTATCTTGATTGCAGAGGTGATTACAAGAATCTGTACTTGTGGTAACTCCACATATACAACGGACATTGTATAATGCACTGTACAATGTCAATTTCTTGGTTTTGATATTGTATTATGGTTATGCAGGATGTAACCATTGGTGGAGACTGGGTGGGGTATAAACGACCTCTGTACTATCTTTGTAATTTCTTGTGAATACATAATTATTTCTAAACAAAAAGTTAAAAGTAAAAGATGATGGAAAGAAAAAAAAAGATGAAGGTAGAGATCAGGGCAGTGCATCTGCAAGTAAAGAAGCAAGTTCGTCTGCAAGTCAAAGAGCACCAAAGATTATCAACCAAGCACCAGATGCCAGGGCAGAAGCATGGGACAGTCTTTCTCATAGCCCACGGAAGGAGCCAACCCTGCCAACACCTCAATCTTGGACTTCTAGCCTCCTAAACTGTGAGGTAATACATTTTTGTTGTTTGAGCCACTTAGTTTGTGCTACTTTGTTAAGGTAGCCCGAGGAAACAAATACAGTAGGAAAAATGTATATCACCCTACAGTGTCCCAAGACATCACGATTCAGCAGCAGGTGCAAATGCTCACTGTCTAAGAATTACTGTCCAGAGTAGATCCAGTAGTAGGAAAATAAAGTAAACCTGAAATCCCGTGGAGAATTAAGTATGAGCCCAGGTGCACAACGGAACATCTATAGGGCATGTATAATTCTTAGACAGCTAACTCCCTCAGGTGGCTTCTGTTCTCAGGTAGATTAATGCCTGGCACACATAACACTGCTACAGCATCAATGCAAAACTGCTACTGAAATAATGAGCAGCATCTTTTGCTGCCACGTAAAGCTGAAAAATGCAGTTCTATAGAATCACCACTAGGTGCCACTCTTGGCAGAGATGAGAAAAAACAATATTATTAAGTTTTTAAAATTGCCATATGATCCAGCAATTTCATCTCCAGGTATTTAACCAAAGAAAAGAAAAACAGTAATTTGAGAGATAAATGCACTCCAATGTTACTACATCATTATTTACAACGATGCCAAGGTAATTTCCCACTGATACACTGAGGGATGAAGAAAATGTGGTATATAGATATAAATATAGGTACAGTTGAATAAACTGAGCCATAAAAAATTAAATCTTGCCATTTGTAATACTATGTATCTTGAAGGTATCATGCTAAATAAAATAAGTCAGACAGAGAAAGACAAAAACCACATGATCTGACTTATATGTGGAATCTAAAAAGCAAAACAAACATAACAAAATGAAAACAAAAACTCAGAGAACAAATGAGTAGTTGCCAGAAAGGGAGTGGTGAAATAGGTGAAGGGGATTAAGAGGAACAAACCTCCAGTGATGTAATAAGTAAGTCACAAGGATATAATATACATACATATTCCTTATGGAATATGGTCAATAATACTACAGTAACTTTGTCTGGGGACAGATAGTTACTAGACTTATTGTTGTGATTATTTCATAAGATATACAAACGTCAAATCACTATGTAGTACACCCGAAACTAACATAATATTGTGTGTCAACTAGATTTCAACTTAAAAAAAATGTTTACTGCAATGGAACTGGAATAGGAAAGTTTGGAAAGAAAAAAAGTACTAATCATTGTAAGACCCCAGAACACTCAAGTTTCAATTGTATACAATGGGAGGGCCCTGCCTTTACAACCTGATGCATTTAGATGCTATAGGACAAGTGTAGAAAGTCTTCCCAAATGGTGGGCTGAAGCCGGGGAAATCAAGGCTGTTCATATGAGTCAAGTGTAGAAAAAACAGAGTGCAAGAAAAGGCCAGAAACAGAAACAACACAAACTGCTGGAGAGGTGGAGACAATAATCAGGCAGGAGAAGCAGGTGGACTCAAGTACTTCAAGACTAGGCTGGAGCAGAGAGTGAGCACCTGTGTGACATGGCGCCAGGCTGCTGGGGTAGCCTACACATCCACTGTCTTTCAGATCTGTGACTTAGGTATTTACACTTGTAATCACATGTACTTTTTATTAACTGTCTTTTCTCTTAATGTAATAGAGGAGAACAAATCTGACTCGGTATTGCATCTGTTCCTTTGACCACTGTGCCCTGTTTTCTAGGCTTAGTCTTACCAGCTCTGCACCTTTTGTGAAACAATGTTGCCTTTAGCCTGAAATAGACAGGAGAGCCTATTCTCCAGGCTCTGACCTTTAAGGATGTCAGCTCTTCTGCACTCATGTAGAGATGGCAAGTTGCAAAATAGAGAATAACCTTTATTTCGTTGGAGGTTTTGCAGGAGCACCATGACCTAGCCCACATGGACGGCTGCAGGAACAAAGAATTCCTGCACCAAAAAGTTTGCAACAACCAACAACACCCCCTCCTGTTTTTTTGTATAAAAGGAGCCTACATTCAGACTGGAGCAGGATGGTTCTCCACTACATTAGTCAGCCATTCTCTTGGTCTGCCAGCTTTCCAAATAAAGTCACTATTCCTTGCTCCAACACCTCATCTCCCGATTTATTGGCCTGTCGTGAGGTGAGCAGAATGAGTTTGGACTCAGCAACATTAACAGAGTATCTTAAACATTTTATAAATTTTCTTACCATACAATTTCACTTTTAATTAATAGGTAATATTTCAAGTTGTTTATGTATCATACCTTATTCATCCATTCCCCCATTATTTAGGCATTTGTTATTTCTGCATTTGTAGGTAGGTATATTTCTACTGTGTATTTAATTATGTGGTCCCTGCTCTGTTTCCTTCAGTTTTAAAGTCTGATGTGAAAGGTGAAGGCCCACTTGTAATACAAGTTATTAACTGTCACAAGAAAGATGACAAATATCCTCAATATTTTATTTAAACTAACCAAACATAATAACTTTTGACTTAATTGTATGGGTAAATATATATACACACACATGGAATTTGTATATATATACACATATGTAAGAGATATTTGTTTAAAAAATACCTTGAGACAAATGAAAATGAAAGCACAACCACACAAAATTTATGGGACACAGCAAAGGCAGTGCTAAGAGGGAAGTTTATAGCGATATAGGCCTTCCTAAAAAAAGAACAATCTCAAACAATTT